GCCTGATGATGAAGTGACAACTTCGAAACCGGTCGCCAATAAATTGACTTGTGAGAAATAAAGGACCTTTTCTTTAACCTTTACACTAAATCCCTACTATTCACATATGGCTACCCTCACTCCAAATAAAAATAATTAAATAAATAAATACCTTGGGAGATTCTACTTCTAGTAGGTACACAACTACGGTTGCTTATTACATTGTTCTTACTTCTTTTTTTCAAAAAAAGAAAAATGTATACGTGTATTTGATACGCCAAAATTACAAAATATCGCCCTAAAGTGGTCGAATTATCTGCAGCTTGCGCTAGTATCGCTTTTGCTTCCCCTACCATGACTTCGCACTGAGCGAATATAATCATCATACGTTTCCATATACATTTTCTATACTACTTCCCTCAACAAAGTATGTACTAAACAAAAATTATTAATTTTCAATAATGGGTTTAGTACAATCAAAAAGTTTGCTTAGTGTTTATTAAACTACAACTGGGAGACAACAGTTCTAAGCTATTTTTCACAGTATTGTCACGATTCGTATAAATTCATATTTTTCCTAATTTTAATTAATTATTTAAATAACATCCTGTACATAAAACTTTGTTTAATTATGTCAACAATTTGTTTTAAATAGCAATAATGTGCAAGGTTGGTTATTTAATAATTATTAAACATTAGTTTTAATAACAATAAACTATGAGAAAGTTATAAAGGTAATGTCGAGGGGGTGCACGAGGCTTTTTTCCACAGGGAACGGATCCTCCCCATAGGAGGTCCCCCTTGTAGGAGATTCCCTGTAGGGGTTGTGACATGTGCCCAAATATTAACGGAGTTGGTAAATCTACGTTTTGTGTACTTATTATTATATTGAGCCTGTATTTATGTAAGTCGAGTTAAGACATTTTATATAATCGTTGTAATTACATTATACTTGTTTTGAGAACACTGTATTTCCTTCAGCCCTTGTTTAAAGACGTGTTAGGTTCTTATAGCAGGAGCAGAATCCTTATACAGTTAAGGGCTACGAAGCCAAGTTTAAGGCTAAATAGTGTTTATGTGATTGAGGCCCAAATTCATATATTTTGTTATTTAACCCCCGGGACATAGATATTCCCATAATTATAAAAACTCCGCTTAACGTGACATTCTTTATAAAATCACGTATAACGTGACAGTATTTTTGGACCTCAATAACACTTAGTTTCAAAAAAGAATTGTTTAACTAGGTGTAAGTAGACTTTTGCAATAAATACTTATAAATTACCTTTTACCTATATCAATATGTATATAAAGACACTTGTTTACTCTATTGACAAAACATTGGATTTCAAATAAAATATTCGACTATTATAGCTAAATAAATCTTCAGGTGAAAAGTGATCTGAACAAACTTTGGCATCTTTCAGTTTTGAGATCTTCCTCATTTATTTTTAAGTTGTTCAGCCACAATGACATTGGACAATGTCTCTCGGAAACCTGTAAATGTATGTACCATAAAATAACCAGTTTCTACAATTAGGTATTTTTATATCAAGAAATAAATAAAACCCTAGCACAGTTGTTACGCCCATGGATATCTACATTATTTACATTTCATGAGATTGATTTTGACATAACCTACCTGTGAAAATAACGAGCTGGTTTTAAGTGATTTAGTCCAAAATGTTCGGAAAACTATGCAACTCTTTACTATTTTGAAATGTACAATCACATTTGTAGACAATTTCTTTTATATAAATAAATAAAACAAGAATATTCCACTAAAATAAAACACCCAACAACACTTTTAAAAACATACACAAACAGGTTTGCCAAATGTTCAGTTAAAATATAGTATTTAATGGTTAAACCGATATATCCTAGTGAACAAAATCTAAAAACATCTAATTTAAACACCGATTCAATGCAGCAAAAAATTAAATGAGAAATTTTATGTATATGATCCAGATTGTTGAATGAACTGTTAAATATTAATCTCCATATTAAGTATCTTAAACCTTGAAACATTGGGAAATAATCATTATTATCCTTATGTGTTTAACAGAAACAGACACTGTGGCAACCACTGCTGGTACCAAAATTTTTTAAATTCGAGTTATAGCATAAAATTTTATATTTTTATAACGATATATAGTATGCAGTCAGTTTATTCATTATCATTGTTATTTAGCAAAATCTCATTATTTTCAAAATAATCTATATTATTCAGTTGTTTTATAGTAGGCTTGTGTCATTTAGAATATTTCTGATAGGACATAGTATCTGTTATTGCAGATTTTTAAAATACTGAACAACATTTGATTGTTTATGAGCAAAATGGTCATCTAAAATAAATAAAAAATTTAATTTGTAAGAATGTTTCATTCAAAGTAATAACAATTCCGAAGTTGACGTTACGAAAAATGTTTACTAGGCAAACCCAACTTATTTTGCAGTGTCCTATTTATTCTAGCAACGGGCTCACCTTTTTTTGAAATAGATTTAGGCAAGAATATTTAGTTATTTTAATTAATTACTGCTTTAGCTAAATTAAACAGTTTTACTGATATATTGAAGCAACTTAGTTTTAATAGCGTCAGCAGTTACTCTGGTGCCTGAGCTCTCAATGCCCACAATTATTGGCTTAAACATTTCTAGAAGACCTGCTAGAAGTAAAGTGCCAATCAAGGAGTGTTGTCACCACCAAAATTTTGGTTTCAGTAGATAACTTGGTTAAAATTTAGTATAAATTGGTAGATTAAAGTTAAGGTAATAAACTTTGTTTATTTATAATGAAAATGCTAAGTAATAAATGTCATTTTGTGGAGAAGGTAAATGGTGTTTTTACATATTATAAATATAATTACCTCTCTAATTTTTGAATTTATTAAAAATATAGTTTCTTGTAATCAATTCAGATAATATAAATCAAAATCTAACAAATTTAAGCTGTTGTTGATGAATAATTTAATTTGGTTATTTTAACTAACATCCGATTGCCTAACTTTACCTTAAAGTGTAATTAACAGTAATTAACAGTCATAGTAGGTACACGGCGACATTCTGTTATCTCAAGCGTGATTATACCTGTCCTGGTTAGTACGTGATTGTGTATATACGAACACGGAGTTTCTACGCTTGCCTTCTCAGCTCACGAATAAACTGTCAACACCTGAAATTAGTTTTTTGTTCATAAACTCTTATAATTCATTAGACAACTCCAAGAACAGATTTTATTAAAGAACAATGATAATTGAATTTATAACATAAAAATATTTGTAAATCTGATTTTTCATTAGTGAAAGAAGATGGAACACATACGAATTTAGAATTTATAATCTGCAAATACAAATTTATTAACTTTCAGCAATAAAATATCAAAATGTGTTAATTCCCGTAAAAAAGTCGATTGTATATACTGGTTTCAAGAAAGCCTTTGATAAGGTAAATCACAATATTCTCCTAGCTAAATTGAAATTTTATGGTCTTGGCGATCACCTAATAAAATTATTTTCCTTTTATCTAAAGCTGAGGCCTCAGTATGTAATGTTTGGTGGTGAAGTATCTTATACAATGCTTGCAGGCTCTGGTGTCCCTCAGGCTTCTAATTTAGGCCCTTTACTTTTTTAATATGTGTCAATGATCTCCCTCTACGTATTACATCAGACTGCCTGATGTATTTAGATGATCTAAAAGTTTTTAAAAAAATCTCAAAATGACTTTGACTCAATTTCGGATTGGTCATTAGAAAATAAATTACTTTTTAATATTTCCAAATGCAAGGTAATGACATTCAGCAGAATTTGTAATTCTCAAAATTTTATCTACACAATGCAGGGATCAGCACTAGAGAGAGTATCAAAAATGATTGATTTGGGAATAGTTTTCAAAATAACTTCAAAATTGATGAGCTCTATAATTAACCTCGTATTTCTACATAAATTGTTAAATGGATATAGTCAATATTTATTAAATCAAATAAAAAATCAATGTTCCAGTGGCAGGTATTCCCCCCCATAAATTAACTTTTCGTGCGTATAATCATGGTTCATTAGAAAAAATTTGTGTATTATTTAACGTACATTCCGAAGACATCTCTTGCGGTATTTTTGATGTAGCCATAAGCACATACAGAAGGGAACTTATAAAAATTATTGAAGTAGGATATTCGTTATCTCTAGTTATTTTAGCATTTTTCTTTTTCTTTAAACTTTGATAAAAACATTTTAGTAGCGATGTTTGTTTAATATAAACAAAATTAAGTGTATTAATTATATATTGTGTATTTTTGTTAATAATATTATAGAAACATGTAATTAGGCTAATGCCAGTTTGTTTCTGAAAATAAATAAATATCTAATACATTTTAGATATTCTTTTTAAATTTTTATTAAAATCAGACAGATCTGTTGATGGTGATCAAAAAGATAATTTTAAGATTTTGTTTATTATATTTTAATTCAATTTTATAGATGCCTTTACTTATACTGCGCATATAATCAAGGTTAATATACCAAGATCTTGATTATAATCAGCTATTTTTGTAGTGTCTAAATCTCAAAAAATATTTTAATATCATTTAGATGAAACATAATTTTGGCAGTAATAAATTGATTATTGATGCCAAAATTATGTCGAATCAAATTAAAAAATATTCGAGAAATTTAGCAAAAACAAAAATAGGAGAATATTAATCAAGGTTGTGTTATATTTGAGACGAGTATTTCACTAGACCAAATATTGACTATTTCTCTGGAGAAATAGTCGCTGATATTTGATCTAAGGAAATAGTCACACTTGTATCGTTAATAACTTCGATATAAGGAGAAATTTATCCAAAGAGGTTATAACTGTGACTTATTTTATTTTATCGAGTTTATTTGTATGTGTTAACTTTTGTGTTAATTTTTAGACTCTCATTCCTCTATCTTTACTTAATGTAAAAATAACTAAAATAATCTGTTATACTCAAACCAATGTCTAAAATCCTCTTTTATTTTTTATTTTTCTGTTTTTTTCAGATGAGGATCGGCCTTCATACCGGATCTGTCCTGGCAGGAGTTGTGGGAGTAAAAATGCCTCGTTATTGTATGTTCGGACACAATGTAACCATTGCTAACAAGTTCGAATCGGGCAGCGAACCCCTGAGGATAAACATTAGTCCTACGACATTCGTGTAAGTATTTTCTATGTCGATTTTTAAATTAAATGAAAAACGTTGCTTTGGGGCTATTAATTACAGATGGTTAAAAAGATTTTTTTTTAATTATACCCAAGTTATGTAGTTTTCGACTATATTTTCACCTGATATATCCCCACGTAACTTTTCGGTAAAGTTATATATTTCTTCAGCCAACATATGAGGTGTACGGTGAATATCTTGAATATCTTGAATATCTTGAATATCTTGAATATCTTGAATATCTTGAATATCTTGAATATCTTGAATATCTTGAATATCTTGAATATCTTGAATATCTTGAATATCTTGAATATCTTGAATATCTTGAATATCTTGAATATCTTGAATATCTTGAATATCTTGAATATCTTGAATATCTTGAATATCTTGAATATCTTGAATATCTTGAATATCTTGAATATCTTTAATATCTTGAATATCTTGAATATCTTGAATATCTTGAATATCTTGAATATCTTGAATATCTTGAATATCTTGAATATCTTGAATATCTTGAATATCTTGAATATCTTGAATATCTTGAATATCTTGAATATCTTGAATATCTTGAATATCTTGAATATCTTGAATATCTTGAATATCTTGAATATCTTGAATATCTTGAATATCTTGAATATCTTGAATATCTTGAATATCTTGAATATCTTGAAAAGTACTGAAATATCTTGTATGTTCAATACATGACTTTCCTATAAAGTTATTAAAAAATAATTGTAATTTGATTACCACATCGTTTTTCTTCGGAGGCGTATATAACTGCCCTTAAAGGTAAAATAATGACTCAAAATCAATCGCACATAAATAAAAAATATTAACAAGTTAAATGACAATCGGTTTTGCCCTTGGGCCATCATCAGGTCTAAATAATAGTGATAGTGATAAGTGAATGTATTACCGAAACGTCTTCATAAAATAAAGCTCCCCTTAAACGGCATAAAACAAAACTACATCCCTACCACCTGTAGGACAACATGGTGTCCACTACGAAGTATTCAGGAAAGCAGGGGTCAGGTGTATGTATTCGCTATATTGATCAGGGCTTGACACCAAAGGAAGCGAAAAAAAAAAGCTGTTGAGCATAGATCCCAGGGAAACTGTCGTCAAGACGGAGCGGGTCGCGATCCTGTCTAAGGGATTTCCTGAGACTCTCCCCATTGCGGACGATCAAGCCTTATTCGAGGAATCCATAGTGGAAAAAAAGTTTTTCGGATGGGAGCACAAGCTTTAATTCGGAGACATTCCCTTTTGACCAGGTATGGTACTAATCGACTATGAAACTCCACAGTGAGCAGGGTTAAAATCCCACAATTAAGCAACTGAAAGGGAGTGTAGCTGGAATGAGACATTTCTAAAGCACATACTGCTCTACTCTCTCTCTCCCCAGAAGTCAAGGGCAGACTGTAGAGAAACTTCTGCAGTTAATAGAAGCACAGAAAGTGAGGGAGAGGAGAGACGAGGCCTTTGCCCTCAGGGTAGGAATTGATTGCTGATCCTGCTAGAAGATCATTATTGGTTCGGGAAAATCCGGTCTTCAAAAGAAAGGCAAAAAACCGGAAGGACATACGTTGCTAAACGATGAGAATGACACAGAGAGCATTATGAGCCTTTATTTCTCAACTCTCTACCAAGACCCATCGAGGAAGAAGAAGAAACAGACGAGCACGACATGGGACACAACCTCATAAGTGGGCACGATACCCTCATCCATGAGAAATAAAATGGCGGGCATTAACTTCGCCCAAGTAAATGCCCATCTCGTTAGGGGAGCAATTAGGGATTAAACTGAACCAGGAATCGTAGACCTACGGAAACCAGGTAAGAGGACTTGCATGTAAAGGTGCAAAGGTAATTTATTACTCTAGTGATAAAGTACCCAGAACATGTGTTATTGTAAGAAATAATATTAAATATTATTGTCTTTCAGAATTCATGACGCGGTATCTCGTACCTATTCGAGCATGCCTCGAATTTGGGATAACGCAACAAGACGTAGTTATTTCGCCGGATATGGGCATGTACCACACCCGGAAGTATCAAGGCTAGTGAAGTACTGAAATCTGCCATTACTTTGAATGCGACGCCAAAGCGCATAGCACCATATGGGGAAGCAAGAACACCAATTAAATAGGTGAGCAACTTTTACAATATATTTTTAATAAGAACGCACAACATTAGCAATACCCCCTATTTGTAACCAGAGTAAGAAAAGAGGAATTAGATATCACATTAAGTATACCGAGTATTAAAAGATCTAGTTACAAACTGGAGAATCTCGAGTGACCCATCTCTATCTGACCACAAGATAATTGTGTTTAAGTTAGAGAACGACACTCCTGAGACGCTTTTCAGGAGGAATCTTAGAAAAACAGTTTGGGACAAATACAACACCATTCTAAAACAAAAATTTAGCACGTATCCATACTAAAAAGGGGCCCAGGCACTCACTTGCTCTGGAAAACAATCTCGTGTTGATCTGTATCAATCCTTGAAATGTTGATTGCCAACTGTAAAAAGGATATGATGATAACGTTTTATATGAACTGCATTTTAGTAACTTTATTAATTCATCTAAAGTTTTAATATTGCAGATATTTTGTCAAGATTGTTTATTTTAAAAACGGTCTATTTATAATTTATTTACACTAAATACTAATTAACTTAATTTCTACTAAAATACTTAGATTAGCACTATTTATATATTACAACTGTGTCTTGATTTCAACTGACTGGCCATAACTGCAAACACATATTTATATAAATGGCGAAGGCCACTCGAACCTTCTACAAAATTCTTCGACTGACTATACGCCATTTTAGATCTGTCGCCATTTTTGTCGAATATTAACCTATAAAGGCATCCGCTGAGGTTTAGTACATTCCCAAATAAATTATTTATACCGGCTATCTGTGACCATAGGCATCTCTATAGCTGTTTAGAAGGAGTTTATCCCCTACATCAAATATTCCTGGTTTTAAGGACAGGTGAAGTCGTAAAAAAGCCTAAACTAGGCAGAGAAAGACTTACAGGATTAGAACTTGACCGAATTGGTAGGAAATATACAGGATTTTTTGGAATAAAGTAATGTAAACTAGAGACTTGTAGATCTTAACTAATTATTAAGAAAATATAATTATAATTTTTCAGTAAACGTCCCAGTTCTCATTCTACAGGGTGATAAAGTGAATTTCATAAATACATAATTTTCTAAAAAGGCCAAATTTGTTGATTATAGATTGTGCAGATATTTTGATTGGAAGGTTCTATCTTGACACCCTATACATGCTGTTTTTTACCACTTACTACTTTTAGAAGTCAATCAAGGTAGTTTTGTAGTATTTTTTATCGTGTACGTGCACCAATCATCCTGTTTTTCTTTTTCGCTTCTAACAATAGATTACGCCCAGCATGAACTACTCAGCCTTTTAAGATAATGTTTTCTTAGGTAGAATAGATCGCCTCAATTCATTTCAGGTGCAACTTTTTTTTTAGATTTCTTTAAATTTTCAAAGCTCGAATTATTCAAAATCGATTTTTCTAATAGTATAAAACCAACTAAATACAAAAAGAAGTGTGATTAATTTCGTATATGATGATACTGTCATAAATCCTCATCAAAAAATAGGAAATCGTTAAAAAAAAATTCAGGATGACTTTAAAACTATTAGACAATGACGCAAGAAGAAATAAAAGCTCAAAATCAATACTACGTCAGTGTTATTATAAAAAATACAGAAGCAAATAGTTTCAGCCTCACAGTGCCCTCTTCAGGCCTGTAATACAATTATCCTTAATTAAAAATGATAAAGTTGAAAACAACATATTCTTTAAACCCGTAACAAAAAATGAAGTAACTATTTTAATAAGCAAATTAAAAAATAGCTCTGCACCTGGTCCAGATAAATTAACAGCAACTACAATAAAAAATATAAATGAATATATTATTCTTCCTGTAACGCATATCCTTAATATTTGCTTTCAATCAGGAAAAATTCCAAGTCAATGGAAGGAATCAATTGTCACACCTGTATACAAATCCGGAGACCCTAGTGAGCTTACAAATTATAGGCCAATTTCTGTTATCAACAACTTCGCTAAAATTTTTGAAAATGCAGTAAAAAGTAGATTAATTAATTTTTTTCATAATCATAATGTTATTACAGATTGTCAATACGGTTTTATACAAAACTCAAGCACTGAAAATGCGGTAGTTGATTTTTTGGAAAAGACGGTTAACGCTGTAGATGAATCATTAAAATGTGCTGCAGTATTTCTTGATTTGGCCAAAGCATTTGATACCGTTTCCCATAACATTTTACTTGACAAACTAAATAACTATGGCATACGGGGTTTAGCATTAAGGCTCCTGAGGGATTATTTATCTAATAGAACCCAGAGCGTAAAAATTGGCAACACCGGAAGTTCTAAATCAGTAGTAAAGATGGGGATCCCACAAGGAACAGTATTGGGCCCAATTCTGTTTCTGGTTTATATGAACAACATTACACAAATTAATAACTTATCTGGGAATATCATATGCTATGCGGATGATACGGTAATTATTTTCGCTGGAAAAGAATGGGAAGAGGTTAAACTCGCTGGAGAAATGGCCCTAAGAAAGATAAGTTTATGGTTAAATAACAATCTACTAACTTTAAATGTATTGAAAACAAAATGCATTACTTTTAGTTCAACCATCGTTAATCAACCTAACAGCTTTTGTATAAAATTGCATAGTAGTGACTGTCAAAAAAGCGATTGTAACTGCCCCTTGATAGAAAAAGTTTCTCAAATTAAATACCTAGGTGTAATACTTGATCAATACATACGGTGGTCTGAGCATATTGTCCATGTTAGTAATAGACTGAGAGCCCTAATGCACAAATTTTATGTTCTCCGGGACATTCTTTCAAAGAAAAATATAATGATACTTTATAACTCCCTAGTGGAATCTATATTAAGGTATTGCATAGTA